GGGGGGGGCGGGGCACAGGGCCGGGAGGGCAGGACTTCCCCGAAAGCCCCGCCTGTTACACCTGGGGGTGGGGCCGGGGCTCTGGGCCTCCCCACTCCCACTGCAGTTTGGGGGTCTCCCCAGCTCCCAAGCAGAGCCTGGCTGCTGGGGCCTCTCGGGGCAGGGTGTCAGGTGCTGTGGCCTGGGTCACGCGGCTGTGTGCTGTAGGGGCCGGGGGTGTCCTGTTACCAGACTCCACTCCAGGATACTGGGCGGACCACCCCCCACACCAGCTGTTTCCTGCAGGGACGGGGGCCTCCGCTCAAATGTGGGATTTTAAAACTTTACCCTCAGATCTGTGCTATTTGACATTTTTGGATGAAATACAGCATGGTGACCCACAGTGACAACAGTCCTTAACTGGAAAGGTCTCATGCACGGCTGGTTCCGCACAGACCCTCTAAGGAGGGGCTCAGGCACCCCCAGCCCGCCTGCAGCTGCCCACCCCTGGGGCAGGAAGCCAAGAGCAGGACAGCTGCCCAGGTGGCAGGGTGGGCGCACAGGCCCCCAACCCTCCGCACTCTCCTGCTCCTGTCCCACCAGCCACAGGCGCAGTCCCAGAAGCGCAGGGAGGAGCCCCCCCCTCGCCATCGCTGGCTGTGCCAGGGTCGAGCACAAGAGGGAGGGCTGCAGGGAGCAGCCCTCCCCAGACACAGGGCCTGGGACACTGTCTCCCTCCCCCGGGGTGTGCCAAGAACATAAGGACTTTATCTGCGGACCCCCCAAAAAACACCACACAAAGCTATTTTTTTCTTAGCTTGATTTCTCTTAAAAAACAAAAAAGGAACAAGAAAATCATTGCACCAGCATCCTAAGCCTCAAACTAATAAAAAACAAAAAACACAAACCAAAAACAAAGTGCCCCCAAAGCAATGAGAAACTTTACATCTCTTTGGCAACAATAACTTAAGCTCACCCGGCTTCCACTCGCTCCAGCAACAGCAGTTACAAAAATATTCCCTGCGCTGCCACACCACGTCCCCGTCCCTGCAGGCAGGAGCCCCCACCTGACGTCGGGCTGCGGCTCCCGCCTTCCTTTGGCAGCTGAGGCACTGGGCCAGGCAGCACCCTGCAGACAGGAGCCACCCCCGCCACCCCGCCGAGGGCACTCTAGAACGGGGCCCATGTGGCAGGGGTGTGGCCTGTAACCCCTCTTCCCCCATGTCTCTGGCCACCCACCCCAGGTTCCAGCAGGGGGACCCAGGTGGGAGCGGCCCCGGCCCGTGGCACAGCGGGCTACAGTCTAGCTGAGTCGGCCAAGGGGGACAGCCACAGACTGAGACGAGGGCAGCAGAGTCAGAAAGCCACGGTCCTCTCCTTGTGCTGAGCAAAACCCAGAACCAGGCGGGCCAGGAGGAGGGGGCCGGGGGCAAGAGAGGCTTGCAGCCTGCTGCTGTCTCGGGGGCCTCTGCCTCGCTGGCCCAAGGGCACAAGTGTCCTGTGAACACCGAAGGAGCCAGCCGGACAGGGAATGTGCTCCCGGTGGCTAAGAGCAGGTCCCCTGGCCTCAGAGGCCGAGTGTCCAGCAGCTGCAGGACCCAGAGGTGCAGGCCCTCTCGAGTGTGTGTATGTGCGTGCGTGTACAGATGCCCCACCCTAGGGCTAGCAGCAAACCCAGCGTCCAGGATAAATTCTGGCCCCAGGGCAGCACGGGGCTGGGGGGCATGGCCAATCCACCACCCCAGAGAGGGGCCTCTTGTCCAGTGCTTCTGCAGGGTGCTGCGGGGACCACGGAGGCACCGGAATCTGCTGACAGCCACCAGGACCACGTCCACACTCACTCCCGGTCACCATCCTCGCTGCTGCCTGGCAGGCGCTCCGGTGACACCAGCTCCCAATGGGTGGGAGCTTCGTGGGTCTCAAGCGTCTTTACTCCCACTCTCTGCACTCGCGGCAGAGCCTGGCAAGCAGGAGGTACCACGTGACACGTGGGGGACGCCAGAGGCTCCTCCACCACGACTCCCACCTGGCCTCCATCCCCAGCCTCCACGCGGGCCATTGGTGGGGGGCTGCGGCCCTCAGGCCCCGTGGCTGCAGCGGCCTGCCTGTGTCTAGGCGGTGGACAGAGCCAGACCCATTTTTCTCCTCGCTGTATCACCCACACCCAGGCCCAGCCTTACTCAGCAAATGCCCCCAAGTCCTCCTTTTACAGATAGGGAAACTGAGGCCCAGACAGGGCTGGCCAGGGCCATGCAACTGCCTTAGTGACCTGCCCGTTGGTTCGGACACAGCGCCCTGTAAGGGGACTGAGGCTGACCGGCCGGCAGCTAGGGGAGCGCGGGTCTGCCTGGAGCAAGGCCGGGGCTTCTGCAGGAGGTGGGCTTGGAGGGAAGCCGGGCGGCAGGCCCGGTGGGGGTGTGCTGGGGCAACGGGAGCGGCCCCTGAGCGCGCAACCCTGGTGAGGCTCAGGGCCAGGTAGGGCGCGGGGGGAGAAAGCCAAGCCCTGGGGCTGGCGGGCCGGGCTAGGTCTGGGACGCGGACAGGGCCAGCACCACCCTCGGGCCCGCCCGCACAGCCTCACCTCCCGTGGAGTCGGCGTCGCAGTCGGACACATGCGTGATGGAGAAACGCGACGCGGGCGCGGGCGACACGGTGAAGCGCGATGCGGGTGTGGCCGGGGTGGGGGCCATCGCGAAGGCCGCCTTGACTGGCATCGACGGGAGGTCGTCGTCCCACTCGAACGCACCGCCTGCCACCGGGCCGCCGCGTCACTCGTGCCCGGGACCGGGGCCCCACCTGCTCTCTGTGACGTCACGGACCCCTCCGCCCAGGCCCACCCCGCCCCGCTCACCATCCTCCACGGCGGAGCCTCCGCGGGTCGAGTCCTCCTGCCCCGGCCGGCCCGGGGCAATGGGGGAGCCGGGGCTGCCCGCCAGGAACGCGGGCGGCGAATCCTTGGCACCAGGGAAGGGCTCCCCGAGCTCCCGAGTGGGGCTTTCCTAGAGGGGCCAGCACCACGTGGCTCAGGCCGGCTCTTCCCTCGGGCGCCCACCCCGCCCCAGGCAGGCCCCGCGCTGCGGCCCACCTGGTCGAAGAGGTAGACGGTGACGTCGTCGAAGAAGGACACGGCTTTCTTCTTGCGGTCCAGGTCCTCGCAGAAGGCCTCGGACAGCAGGCTGGGCATCTTCAGCAGGCCGCGCAGGTTGCGCGCGCTCTGGCTCTCGGCCACCACCACGGGCACCGCCGGCACCTCCTCCTCGCTCTCCTCGCTGGGCTCCTGGATGCTGTAGCAGCGGAGCTCCTCGTCCGACTCGTCGCTGTCCTCACTGTCCTCCTCCTCCTCCTCCAGCCGGCCCTCCAAGGCTGCAGGGAGGCCGGGCAGAGCCAGGCAGAGCGGGGTTCGGGGGGCACCCACACCCCCTGTCCGATCCTGCGGGGCCAGCCCTGACAACAGTCCTGGGGTCCCTTGGAGCCCAGAGCTGTCACCTTCTGAGCTTGGTGGCACTGGGGTCAGCAGGACAAGCTTGGAGCTGCTGGGCTCGGGCACAGGCGGCACCTTGGCTGGGCCTGGGGACTCAGGAGGCTCTGGCCTGGGGCTGGCGCTTGGCTCTGGGGAAGACCTGTCCAGCGAGAGCGATGGTGGCAGCGCCTCCCTGAGGCCAGCGCCCTGGGCCTCCCCGGGCACCCCAGGCCCAGGCACAGACCGCTGCCCAGGGCTCTGCGGGCTTTTCAGGCCTGGCTCTGGCCCGGGGGCCTGGACCCCACTGCACTTCTCCCTCGGGCCCGTGGGGGGCTCGGACTCGGCATCCAGGTCTGAGAAGTAGGCCGAGTCTCGATAGGGGTTCTTCTCGCTGAGGCCAGCGAGGGAAGCCGAGAGCCGAGTCTCGGGCCCGGGGCTCTCGCCCTCCGGGGCCAGCTCCCCGAAGGCCTCAGGCTCGCACTCGTGCGCCTCCTTGAGCACAAACTCGGGGGACTCGTAGTTCTCCGTGTCATAGCCGCTGTCCAGGGCTCGGGGCTGCCCGCTGGGGGTGCCGGTAGCTGATGGGCTGGAGACCTCACCGCCACCATCACTGGCTGAGAACGGGATGTCCAGCGAGTCCAGGGAGTCGGGGGTCCCGACCTGCTTCTGCAGAGAGCGCAAGGCGGGCGCTACGTCCGGCTTCTCAGAGCGCAGACCGTCGCTGGACAAGTCGGTGAAGACGCCTGAAGTGGTCTCGGTTGTGTCCTCGTCCTCACTGCTGGCCACCTGCACTTCGTGGCAGCAGCTGCGACCGTTGTCAGCAGCCTGAGCCGGCTCGGTGGGCGAGTCAGGCAGGACGTCAGGGGCACCGGCCGCCTCTGAGGGAAGCAGGGCTCCCTGCTGGGAAGGGGAGGGGAGGGAGGGAAGGGGCCCAGCAGAGCCCTCAGCCTCCACAGCAAGCTTGGGCTCTGCCTGGGGGTCACCCCCGCCAACGGCTGCCTCTGTCCAGGGGGGTGTGACCAGGGAGACAGCCGGTGCCAGGCCCTGGGCAGGGCACAGATGGGGGAGGTCGGGACAGCAGCCTGGCTCCTGGCCAGGGGAGGCTGCCTGCAGCCCAAGCAGAGGCTCTCTGGGGCCCTCCTGTGCCAGGGGGTGGCCCCGCTCAGGGGAGGCCCCAGGGGTCTGCTTCGGGCTGGGGCCGTTGTCCATGTAGCTGCCCCCGTAGCCGGGGTCCCAAGACTCTGGATCGCGGCTGCCGCTGTTGTTGTTGGCCGACACATTGGAGCTCCAGCGTGTCTGCTGGGCGGCCATTGGCGCTCCAGCCTCCCCCAGCTCCTCACCCAGTGATGGCCGGGCCCCCGAGCTCCCCGAGGGGGATGCGCCCAGCGGGTCCTTGAACAGGGGCGGGCAGAAGGGGGTCACGCCCCAATCTGCGTTCTGGGCTCCGCACTCCGTGGGCATCAGGGGCCCTGGTGAGGGCGAGCGGCAGAACGGGTCCCTGCCGAGGCCCCTGCGTGGGTGGGGGTCGCGTCCACCCCAGGGGCCGTCAGCCTGTGGCGTGTGGCCCAGCAGCGGTTCCATTGCCAGGGAGGCAGCGGCACTGCCATCCGAGTCGTCGTCCTGGTCGGTGGCAGGGGGGCCGGGAGTGCAGCCGGCACAGTCGGGGTCGTGGCCTGCGGCAGGCACGGCCTCCTCCAGGCGGATGAAGTACTCGCTGCCCACCGACGGGCTGTGCGCACTGAGTACGGGCACCACGCCAGGGGGCGCGCCGTCGGGGGCGCAGAGCTCCTGCAGGCACGCGGCGCGGCCCGGGCAGGGCGCGGCCCCCGGCAGCGGCGGGAAGGCCTCGGCGCCACCGCCGGCCTCCCACTTGTACTCAAAGTTGAGGCCGCGGCTTGTCTCGGTCACTGTGAGCACGTCGTCGCCGTCCGCGTGGAAGCCATCGCCCGCGAACTGCTCCAGCAGCGGGAAGGACGAGGCGGAGATGAGCTCCGCCGCGGGGCCCGCCACCCCCGAACCAGGGCCGCCCCCACCGGGCCGCAGCGAGCGCCAGCGCCGCTCAAACTCCTCCTCCGCCTCGGTGGCGCCCTTGGCGCACAGGTAGGACAGCAGCAGGTGCACCTCCTCCGCTGTGGGCCGCTGCTCCGGCTGCAGCCAGCAGAACTGCATCACCTCGTACCTGTGGGGAGGGCCCGTGGGTGGCCCAGGCCAGGAACCCCCAGGGGGGAGGCGTGGGGCTCCCCTTCACGCAAAGCGCCTTGAGGGCAGTTGGGGACACCTCTCGCTTCATTCAGTGATACCCCAAGTCTTCCGAGGCCCCGCACATGGGGGCAGTTGGTGGGCTGGGCACTTCCCCCAGGTCATCCCTCCCTGCTTAGGGGGACACAGAGGCTGCGTGTGAGGTCAGAGGAGGCCGGGTGGGGGGATCCCCAGGCATCAGGTGGAGCCGCCTCTGCCTGACTGGGGCACCCCCACCTCGGCCTTCCCGCCAGGGCGGGGCAGGGCATCCTCACCAGCGGTCCGACAGGGTCAGCTGCAGCTGGGGCTTGGGCAGCTTGAGCTGCTGCTCCCGGATGGCGTAGGCCAGCACCTGCCGGTCCGAGTGCTGGGGGTAGGGCTGCACGCCCAGCTCGAAGAGCTCCCAGATGGTCACACCCAGGGACCTGCAGGGTGACAACCATGAGACACGGCAGGGCCGTGGCACAGGCCACACGGGATCCCGTGGATGCCTGCAGGGCAGCTCCTGTCGTCACGCCAGCGCCTCCAGGACCAGGGCTCAGTGCCACAACAGCCACCCCTCCACAAGGACAGCATATCCCCTGCCATAAAGGGGTGGAACACACCTCCCCAGCCAGGCCCAAGCCCAGCGTGCTCAGCAGATCACAGCCTGCCCGGCTCGCGGGGGCCAAGTGCACGTTTGCTCGTTCACGTGCTCGCTTGACACACGGCAGACCAGACACCGTGCCAAGTGGGGATCTGCCTCGGAGCCGGCAAGGGGCTGGGGGGCTGTCTGGGGACACTCCAGCCTAGCACGGGTAGGGCTGGGGGAAGCTGCATGGGGGGGTCTGGGGGCTCCTTCTAGTAGCTGCACCCAGCTCCCCTGGACCCCAGGCTGTCTCCAGCTGGGGAATGAGACAGAGCCGATTTGGCAACAGCGGGAGCAGTCACGGAGGCCTTGGCCAAGCCCTGCGACTGGGGACCCCGGCTTGCATGCAGTGAGTGGCAAGGGCTGGGGAAGGGAGCAGCATCCGAGACAGGGCGGGCTACAGGGTCAACCTGCTCAGCAGAGGCCCTGCGAGTCAGGAAGGGCTGGTCCACGGCCCAGCAGGAGCAGAGGGGCAGGGAGGCCTGGGGTGCAGAGGGGTCGGGAGGGGGCAGGAGAGGCCGGCGAAGGCCAGGAACGGGCACCCCCACAGCGGGAGACGCTCCCAAGGCCTGTGGACCCTACAGGCCAGGCTTAGGCTGGGAACTCAGAATCGGGGGGGCCTCCAGCCCACGGTCATGGGGATGCCCTGCACCCTACACGGCCTCACCTCCACCCCTGAGGCAGCCAACACCCCACCCAGACCCTCTCTGGGGGCCAGGGCAGGTTGGGGCCCTGCCCAGGAGGGCGAGCCCCTCTGTTGCTCACAGCGGGCTTTTGACTCTAGAAGAGGCCTCTGAGTCCCCGCGATTGGTGGGCATCAGCCCAGCGGGCCCTTGGCGGCCTGGGCACCCTGACCCTGTTCTGCCGCCCCCCCCCAACCCAGCCCCACAGGCGGCAGCACCCCCACGACCGCACGCCGCCCGGGGAGCCGCGCTCACCACACGTTGCCGGCCTTGGTCTGGTCCGCCACGAGCAGGTTGCCGTGCACCTCGTCCACCAGCTCAGGCGCGACCCAGCGCAGCGGCACCCACAGCTGGTCTGCGGTCACGAAGTAGTCTTCCTGCGGGCACCCAGAGCGGACAGGGTCACCTCTGCCGGGCGGCCGGCCCGGCCCTGCACCCCGCCCCGCCCCACTCACTCTGTATTTGCAGTGGGACAAGCCGTAGTCGCCGAGCTTCACCGTCAGGTCGGCCGTGAGCAGGCAGCTCCGCAGGGCCAAGTCGCTGCGGGGAAGGGCACGGTCAGCCGGGTGGGCCGGGCTGGGCCGTCCAGGATGGCTTTCGGCCCAGGGTGTCCTGGGCTCAGCCGGCGGGCGGGTCAGAAGGGGAGTCTGAGGAGTTGCTCTGCCCTCCCCTTCCCCTGCTGCCCAGGGCCCCACCCCTGCACCCAGCACTGCTGCTTTGCGAGGTTTGCCTCCGACCTTGCGGTGCAGGTGAGCAAAGAGAGGCAAGACAGGGCTGGAGCCTGCCTGTCTGGGGGCCCAGGGAAGGCACTACCCGGCCAGCCCTAGAACCCCCCACACCCTCTGCCCTGTCTTTCAGGGCCACGCCAGGGCAGCCAGAGCCCCAGCCCTGCCCATCTGCAGTTTTTCTCCCAACCCCACTACACCATCACCCTTGGCTCCATGGTAAACTGAGGCCTGGAGTGTCCTGACAGCTGCCAGAGTCCACACACCAGGACCTGGCCCAGCCCTACCCACAACAGGGCCAGAGCTGAGGCTTGCCCAGGCCCCCCTCCTGGCCCTAGGGCAGGGCAGAGACCTCCAACCCAGTGGCCCAGGCTGCTGGCTTTATCCCCTGCCAGGCTGGAGGTCCCACGGGTGTTCGGGGCAGGTACGGGTCAGCCCACACCCACCATGCTGCTGCCGTGCTGCGCACTCAACGGCAGGATGGGCCGGGGCCGCCTGTCTCTCCCCGCAGCGGCCCACATCTGAGTGCCTGGGGACAGCTGCGGGGCTGCTTCCTGGGGCAGGGGCGTGGCGGGCAGGTCAGGAGGCTGGCAGCTGCCCTCTTCAACAAAATCACTGATGCTGGAGTCGCCTGAGTCATCACTCAGCACCAGGATATTGCTGGGGAGGACGGCCGTGCGGCGTCCGGGGCTGGCGGGCCACGCGTCCAACGCCACTTCTTCCAGCACGTCCCCCGGGCTCCCCGGGGCTGGGTATTGTGGCTGCCAGGGCGGGACAGGGGAGCCCTCCCTCCCGCTACAGGGCCAGCTAAGTCCTCCCATTGCTGCCTGAGGGACGCAGAGGGCGTGGGCACTCTGGGTGGTGGCTGCTGCCTGGGGGACAGAGGACAGGCCCGGAGGACAGTATGGGGTTCTTCATTTAATCCTGCAAAGCAGACGTCAAACCCCTATCTCGCCGATCTTTAAGAAATTCAGTAGAATTCCTTTGCAGGGTTGCTGTCGGATGCCGTGTAAGCACGGCCTGGTCCATCCTCACGGCACCCCCCCAAAGGAGGAGTCGCCCAAAAGTCCCTTCCTCAGGGGACGGGCTGAGGCCCAGGGTGAACCCGCCCAAGGTCATGGCAGAGCAGGGACCCGGCCCCAGGGCTTCCCGGCCCTCACCTGTGCACGTAGTTGTGGCGGTGCAGGTGCAGGACGCCACAGGCCACCTCGCAGGCCATGCGCTGCAGGGTCAGGGGGTCAGGGGCCATGGACTCTGTCACCCGGCAGCTCCGCAGGTAACCCTTGAGGTCTCCCTGCCGACGGGGAGCGCAGCGGGTCACCAGCAGCTGGGGAGGGGGCACCAGCTCCCTGGGGGACCCCATACACCCACCTCCGCGTCAGCACCCCCCGACGCGAGGGACGGGGGGCCCAGCTGGGTGCCACTGCCCACAGTGACCAGCCCCTGGGAGGGCCGCGTGCCCAGCGAGTGCCAGGCCCCACTCGGAGCTAAGGGGGCGGATGGGCCCGCACGGCTGCCGGGACGCCCTGTGCTGGACCTTGGGGGGCACAGCAGGTGGGCAAGCGGCTGTCGGCCCCCAGCCCTCTCCCGACTGATCTGGGCCACCCCGCCCCTGTGGGCCTCCTCTGGGGGTTGGGGCAGGGCCCTCCAGGATCCCGCTTTAGGGGGGTGTGAGGCCCACGGGGGCTGGCACTACACACCGGCAGGGCAAGCAAGGCCCAGCTCAGCAGAGGCCACCGGTAGCCGGCTAGGGGGAGGGTGGACGGGGCCGCGGGCGGCGACTCACCAGCGGGCAGAACTCCATCACCAGCAGGTAGGGCGTCACCTCGGCGCACTGCGCCAGGCACTGGAGCAGGTTGCTGTGCTGCAGGGCCCTGCAAGAGCCCAGAGGAGGGGGCGGTGGCCGGGGCTCTGTCACGGGCTGGGCCCACCCCACCTCGGCCGCCCGCTGTGCCCACCTGTGAGGCTGCGCCTCCTCCAGGAACTGCACCTGCTCCTGCACGCTGGCGCTGGCCTTCAGCTCCTTGACCACCACCTGCGCGCTGCTCACGCCCGAGTTCACCTCCCCCAGGAACACCTGCGGGACAGGCATCACCGCAGCCGCCCCTCCCGGGCAGGGGCTTCCAGACCTTTCTCTTCTGCTGCCCCCCCCCCGACAAGCCACTTTCTGTGCCTCAGTTTACTCATTTGCAGCATGGGTCTGCCCCTCCCAGCGACCCCTTCCAGCTGCGGTACTCTGAGTCTTTCTTGTCATTCCCCCGAGGCCCCAGCTGTGCTCGCGCTCTCGGGGTTTCTGCAGCGAGGAAGCGGGACCCAGTCGTCCCGGCCAGGCTGGGGTCCGGGGAGAAGCCTGGACCACCCCTCCTCAGGCTCCTCTCAGCCCCTCTGGCACTGGGACCAGGGAGGGGCTGCGGCAGACTCTGAGGACCCCCCCGGGAGGGGCCCAGCAGGACACAGGGCCTGGGGAGGCGCCTCCAGCAGAGTTACACCCAAGAAAGCAGGTCCGCACCCCGCCCGCCCCGCGGACACACTCACCTTCCCGAACCAGCCGTGGCCGATCTCCTTCAGGTAGAGCAGGCTGTGCCGGCCCAGGTCCGTGGACTTGAGAAGCTGCACTGTAGCAGAGTGGAGACTCAGGTACCCCAGCACAGCCGCTCCACCCCCCGACCTGGCCCCTCGCGGGCTGCCGGTCCTGGGGAGTCGCCCCAAGTGCCCCAGTGCCACCTGGGAAGGGCAGGCCAGACCACCAAGGCAGAGGCCAGCCAAGGGCTGCCATCAGGAGCCGGGGCCTCTCGGGAGGAGAGGTGGCTGCTGCCAGGAAAAGCCGCAGATCTGCAGATGCCCCCACCCAGGCATCTCTCTGGGGAGATCCGCGGAAGGGGAGCCCAAAGTCACGGGATGAGCCGGGTCCGAGACAGCAGGGCCTGGAGCTGGACCTGCCACATAGGCCGCACCAGGCAGGCAGTGTGGCTGGGACGGGAGGCGGCGGCTCAGGGAGGGCATCGGGGCGGCCGGCCCGCCCCCACCCTGCCGCAGCCTGGCATCCCCGCGCCAGGCGCACCAAAGACCCCTTTGTTGGGGGCCGCTTGGCACAGCCCTGCACGGAGCACACTGGGCCCATTCTCCCGCGGGCAGCTGGCTGAGGTCAGCGGGAGGTAGGGTCAGTGAGGGCCAGGAGGAAGGGGCCAGGGCTGGCCAAGCCCACGCATGCCCTGCCCGAGCCCCGAGGGATTCCCCGAATTCTGCTCCCACGCCGACTGCCCGGGGGCCAGTGGGTGCGCTGCGCGTGGCTGCCAGGAGCGTCCAGGGGAGGGGCTCCTGCCAGGGCCCGGAGACCCAGAAAATGTTGACTGGTGCTGAGCGGGATCTGGGGGGCTCCTGCTAGGCTGCGTCCTGAGCCCGTGTCCTGAGTCTGCTGGGCACACCACCCTCCAGCCCTGGGGTGTCCAGGCTCCTGACCGTGGATGCGGGGACAGTGGCAGGGCATGATTGTATCAACGGAAGTGGCACCTCCCGGCACTGCCTGGCTGTGCTCACCCTCTGCGGCCTCCAGAGGGGCTGGGACCCCTGCCCAGGCTCAGAGCCCTTAACCTCCCCCCCAAATCTCTCCACCCTGGAAGCAGGTGTCCCCTAGAAAGCTGTGACCAGAGATGCAAAAATGGAGAAAATAGGCAACCACTGCCCTCCTCCGGGTTCCTGCGCCCGTGTTCCCGGAGACCATTCTCCAGGAAGGCCAGGGGCCGTGCAAGGGCTCTCATGAGTGTGTGGGCAGCCGCGGCCCTCGGGCCGGCCGACAGACCGGGCCCTGACTCCTGCCGCACCGGCGACCCTGCCTCCAGGAGACTTGGGGGCCAGAGGGGGACAGGCAGGACACCCTGGGCCTGGGGAGGTGGCGGCTACTGGTCCTTCCTGGGTCTACCCTAGAAGCCCAGACCACAGTGAAGGCTAGACTCTCAGGGCAGGTGGGGTGGGCTACTCCTTGCCACGGCAATGGCCCTGGTGCCAACAGGGCCCTCCCAGGGCCAGCAGTGGCTCCGCTCTCTGGGCGGACACGCCTCCCTCAGTGTTCCGGAGAAGCTGGGGGTGGACAGTGAGGAGGGGCAGTCCTTGGCTAGAAGCTTTCATGGAGCCAGCCTGAGAGGCCAGGGACCCCCATGCACTGCCCAGGCTGCAGGACTGGATGGAGAGGGGTCCCCAAGCTCAGCCATTTCCCCAGCATCAGCCGAGGGGCAGCGACCCCAGGATGGGCAGATGCACGACATGGCAGAGGCAGCCCATGGCCTGTGGAGGCCACAGCAGGCCTGCCTGCGCCCGCCGGGCCGGACCCCCACCCCGGGCCTGAGTGAAAGGCCAGTTTACGGCTGCCCACGGGGTCCTACCCGCTCCCCTCTCCAGCCGGGCACAATGGAACCCGTGTCTCCGCAGGCTGGTGATGCCAAGGGGCAGGAATCTGGGGTCAAGCATCTGAGGACTTCAGAGGAGCTGAGCCCCCGCCCCAGCATTTGGGCGGCTACACCCAGGACTGGCGGGCAGCCAACCCGCCCCCCCGGCCAGCACCACCACTGCCCCTCTGCTGGGCAGCCCCTCGGAGCGGGCGGAGTGCGGCCCAGCCTGCTGGCAGCTGGGCCCAAGCCTGGAAGGGGCCACACACCCTCAGCCCAGCCAGGCGCCCCAGCCCCCTGCCCCAACCTGTGGAGCTCCCCAGGATCCTGCCCCGCCAACCTCCCGCCGACACCCTCGCCCAGCACCACACCCGAGGGAAGGCTGGGGTGAGGCCCCCCCGCGCCGTACCTGGCACACTCACCTGAGCGCCCCGGCTGCTTGGCCATGGGCAGGGAGACCTCGGTGAGCGGCAGGACGTACACGTCGGGCCCGTTCTGTGCCGCCGCAGCCGGGGAGCCCTGCACCGAGAAGTCGGCCGCATACTCTTCCCCCTCCACATTCTCAAACTCCTGCAGGCCAGGCCGGCGGGCACATGAGAGGCTCCTGCAGGCCGGGCTACGGCCGCTTTAAGAGCCTTTCTTCCCAGCCCAGCTCCTGCCCCTGCCCCACCATGGGCAGCCCAAGCCCAGGCCCAGGCCCAGGCCCAGCCCCACATGGGAGGACGGGGAACCAAGGACCGAAGGCGAGGGGACAGAAGCTGGCCACCCTGCCCATCCAGAACTGGCCCCAACACTCCTCAGCCCCCAAACACCCCCCTAGCAGCCCCTCACCCCGGGCCCCGCCCGTAGGCCGTCCCTGCCATGGGACAGCACCCCTACCCCGAAGTCCTCTGGGAGAAGCTCCTCCCTCTGCCAGGACAAAGAGGCATTCCTGGGCACCCCGGAGCAGCAGCCCCCCCAGCCATCCTCACCCCATCGGGCACCCCACCTACCACGGCCATGTGCCCGAGGCAGCCATTGGACCTCATCCCCAGTGGCCACACCACCTCCCTGAGCTCCTTAAGAGCCTGGCTCTGGGCAGCCCTGGGCGGGGCCGCTCCTGGCTGGGCTGCTATTTTGAAATGCGGCCGCACCTGTCTAGGGGAGACCCCACCCCCAGGTGCGGAGCACATTCCTGAGCCCAGAGCCAAAGTCCCCAAGGAAGTCCTGGGCCGATTTACAACCGCTCCCTGGGCACTCAGTGCAACCTCTCTCTCCATCCCTCCCCACAACCCCCGGGGAAACTGAGGCTCAGAGGGGTGAGGGCCACCCACTCCGGAGCTCATGCTCCCGTGGACAGACAGTTGGCCTGGGACGGGGCAGCCTGGGACCCTCGCACGGCTGTGTGACGTGGGGACCGTCCTTCCTCTGGGCCTTGGTTTTCTTACTGCAAAGCGAGGCTGGAGGCTGCCGGGATTCCAGGCCCGGCCTGCGTGCTGAGATGGGGGAAGGTGGCTGGTCTCCCCCTCCCCAGGGCCCGGAGACTACCCCCAAGCCCCCCTGGGTCCTCTAAGGCCACACCCTGGCTCTGCTGGGGGCCCCAGACGCCCACCCCTCACCCGGGTCAGCCCTGGCTGCAGCCCATTACCTGCCGCCCGGGGGCCCGGGGCCGGCGGGCACAGCGGGCGATCAGGTAGCACAGCGTGAGCATTGGGGCCTGCCCGGCACCAGCCCCCAGAGCCCAGGAGGGAGCCCACTGCGGAGGCAGGCCCTGCCGCGGAGGCACGCTGGTGCTGGAATGTTCCAGGCACCATGTTACGGAGGAGGAGAGGAGGGCGCAGGGAGGGGCTGTTCTGGCCCAGTCTGGGGCCTTGTTCTCCTGGGCCCTGAGGGGGGCAGCGTATACAAAGGCCCCCTGGGTCCCCACCCCACTCCTGCCTGCCCCAGCAACCTTGAAGCTCTGGTCTCAGGATCTTCTGGAAAGATGCCTGGTGTTGCCGGGCCCAGCCCCCGGGTGCCAGCAGGCCAAAGGACAGGGACCCTCAGGCAGGCAGCTGCCCCAGGTTGAGGGGGTCTTGGCCCACCTCGGAGGGTTCCGGAGGGTGAGTGAGCGGGCAAGTGTGGGCTTTGGAAAAGGCAAGGGCCACGTGCGTTGTCCTCGCCTGCCAGGTGGGTCGGTGCGAGCTCCCGTGGCCCCCTCCTGGGACCCTGGGGCTGTCTCCCTGAAAGTGGGGTGACACTGGCTGGGGCAAGGGTCACTTAAGAAGGTTCCCCCAAAATACAGGCAGGGGTGCTGTGCTGGGCCACCCTGACCTCTCCGAGAGCAGGAATCTGACCTCCTGCCCTGGGGTGGGGCTGGCCCGCGTGGGCGTGAGTGACGGAGGTCCCTGGCCCGGCCGCAGTTTGCGCGTTGGCAGGAACGTGGCCCGCGCTGGCTCTGGGGCAGGCGCCTCTGGCTGGGGTTCTTAGCCCAGCGCCTCTCTGCCTGGTCCTCCCTGCTCAGACCTGCAGCTGGACCTGCGGTGGCCACGGGGGCTCGCGGGGTGGGGACAGCATCTGGGCGCTGTCCTGGGGACAGGAGGCCTCTGCTCCAGAATTCGGCCTCCGGAGGGCGGCTCCGTGAGGGCGCCGTGCACCAGCTCGCCCCACACAGCCTGGCCTCAGCCCCCGTGGTGACTGCAAGTGCCGGAAGCTTTCAGTGCTGGGATGCTCGTCTGGCGCCTTTGGTCTCCTTTTGCTGCCTCGGGTGAGCAGCGACCCGAGGGCCCTGCGGGCGCGGCTCCGCCACGGGAGTCGGGGCCTCTGGGAGGCGAGACCCTCCCATGCCAGCGCAGGGGCCCTGCAAGGCCACCCTCAGCCGCACCCCCACAGAGGGCACCCAAAGTGGTGGAGGTGGTGGCCAGCGTCCCTGAGAGCCCCACGGCGGCCTGGGGCACCAGCAGCCACTTTGGGGTGGGGGGAGGGAGGAAGCTCAGGGCCACGTGGTCCCCAGCCCCAGGATCCCGTGGGCAGCCCCGCAGCCCCCAGCCCTCACCTTGAACCCGATGCCGCCCTTCTTACAGCACAAGCAGGCCAGCATGAGGACGATGACGCTGAACAGCCCTGAGAAAGACACAGCCACCACTGCCAGGGAGGACGACCAGGGGAGCTCGCTGAGCGGCGCGCCGTCTGCGGGAGAGCAGCGCAATTGGGGGCGGCCTTGGCCAGCCCGCCGCACCCAGCGCCCCAAGGTGCCAGATTCAGGTGCCCCTTGTCCCCACTGGGCGACCCGCCAGGCCCTGGCCCCCCACCCTCCCCCACAACCCCCGACCTCCGCAGCCAGGGCCCGGCCTCAGCACCGTCCCAAGACTCCACAGGCAGCCGGGGCAGGTGGACAGGCCTGCAGTCCCGCGGCCGGCCATTGGGCGCCGCTCTGGCCTCAGCGGGCGATGTCGGGTTGGCAAAGCGGCCACAGCCCGCCCAGCGCCTGACTCTGGGGTTCACAGGCACCCTTCTGGGAGGGCAGGGTCTCGGGGGCTGCAAAGGGACCCCTGTCTCTCCTGGATTCCAGTCACAGACCCTGCCAAGCAGGGGAGATGGTGGAGCTGGCCACGGTCCGCGGCCACATGCCAGGGGTCAGGGCCCTGAGACGCGAAGCCTTTCCAGCCTCCCCAAAAACATGGCGCCGTGTCTGGGGCAGCAGGGCCCCCTGTGTCGCCCACACCTCCAGCTCATCCCCTGACGAACCCACCCTGGGCCCCTGGGGCGCTTCTGGGCTGCCGTCAGCAGGGAGCCCCTCTGCAGCACCTGGTCCACGTGGGCACCCTCGTCCCGGGGGGGGACTGACAGCACGACCTGGGTGCCCCAATCCCAGCTACTGAGCCAGAGCCGCTGCCACGCTAGGGCCCCCGAGAAGACCTGGGCCTTTGGGGACACTTGGTGGGCCTGGTGCCCACAGGATGGCACAGTGGCCAGCCTAGGCGTCTTCTGGACAGAGGAGACAGCACACTGACCTGGCAGCTCCACCCGGCCTGCCCCATCCCACCCCACCCGGCTTCAACTCACGCCCCTTCTCTGGCTACTGAGCAGGGCAACCTCTCAGGACCCCGTCAGCGCCCAGCACACCACTGAGGCAGCTGCCATTTCTACCCCGCCAGGCAAGGAAACGGAGGCTCAGCAGAGGTGCGGACTGCTGCGGTGGCACAGCTGACCTCGACTGGCGTGCTTTGGCCAGGGCCGTGGGCTAACAGGCATCTGGGAGGGCTGCCTGGAGGCAATGTGAGCCCAAGGACCTGGAAGATGGGGTGGGTGTGGCCCGGCTTCCTGCTCAGGTGGCGAGGCCATTCCCCACACCCACACGGGGAAGGGGGCCTGGGGCAGCCTGGGGGGGGGCCAGGCAGGGCTGGGGCAGACAGGAGGGCAAGACCGAGGTCACCACGGCAGGGATGCCAGCCTGGCCTGCTCGTGGAGAAGACCCCCGCGAGGGCGGCCGCACCCAAGGGGCCGGGCTGTGTCCCTGACCCCGCAGGGCTCTGAGTGGAGCCCTCAAAGGTGAGGTTTCTGGGGGGCTGTGCACAGGTGAACCCCCATGCTATGCAGACCCCCCACTGTGCAGTCACACCGGAAGCCCCCACAGCGTGGATGCGCAGGGGCTGAGCAGCTGGCACCCCCAGGAAGCAGCCAGCGCCCTCGAGGACCGTGCTGTTGCCATGGCACCCTCCCTGCTCCATCTGCGCCCGCTGGCGTCACTCGCTGCCCTCCTGCCACCTCCGCCCACACTCTCCTGGTGGCTGAGGGTCCCCAAGCAGCCGGGCCCTTCCCACGTGGGACACACTGGCTGAGTGCACAAGCCCCTCTGCGGCCCTGGGGCCTGGCGCTGGTCTCGGTTCTCAGAGACGGCAGTGCACGGTCCCGCGCCCAGCGAGGCTGTCTGCTGGGCAGAAGCCGCCCTGGGAGGCCCATCCTCAGCCTCCACCTCAGCCACCCAGGTCCTCTTCCCGTGACCCCATGCCCTCTGGGGCACCCTCCCACCGTCCCCCGCTGACCCACAGCAGGCCCCGGTCACGGGGCCGGGCGGGGGCGGGGCCCCTCCGCGCAACGTGCTGGGCCGGCGGGGAGTGAAGGTGGCAGGTCAGACACAGCGGGCCTCCCCATCCCTGTGCCCGGAGCCCCCACCTGTGCCAAGAACAGTAGAAACCACAGCCGCCCCCCACCCCCCGAGGGCCACGGCGTGTGTCAGGAGCTGCACCCGGAGAGCCTTCCCTCAGACCCATTACCACCGTTCTGCAGATGAGGACGCTGAGACCCGGGGAAGTTAGTGGCTCAGTCGGGTCACCCGCAAGCCTGTGCCCCCCCGACAGCCAAGGCAGGGCCTCAGGCAGCGGAGAAGGGTTCCCACAGCCCCTCAGCTGCAGGCCGTACCCCTCAGTCCCACCGGCTCTCGGCTGCCCTGACGCCCTGAGCCGCAGGCACCGCTGCCCCTGCGCGCTTGGCGCCTTCCCGCCCTGTCAGCAGGGCCGCTGCTGCCTGGCCCCGGCCGTCAGCTCCTCAGGCAGACACTGAGCGCCAGGCCCGGTGCCCCGAGCGCCATGACGCCTGTTGTAACAACACAGCACACATACACACCCACACACGGCACACACGCAAGGGCATGCGAACACACATGTACAGACACTTGGCACACGCACACAACCACACGTGACCACAAGCTCAGACACAATGTACACTGGCCCACACGCATGAACATGCATGCCCAGACATGTGCACACGCACAGCCCCCCACACGTACACGCACGCGTGCAGTTATGCACACACATACGCTCGTCCGGCCCCCACAGCAAGCTGCTCGGCGGGTACCATCCCCAGTTCGCAGGGAAGAACGCTGAGGCTGAGGAAGTCACAAGCCCACCCAAGGGTGGCCCAGCTGGTGCCTCTGGGGTCTGGCCCGCCCTCCCTGCTCGCCCCCTGGGGATCGGCCCCGCTAGCGGCCAGCAAGGGCTGTGGGGTCTGCTCGAGGCCACAGAGGGCGAGAAGGGAAGCGTCAGCCGGGCCCTCCCCCCAGAAACTCACGCCCGGGACGACAAAAGCTGCCCACGGCGTTATTGTTTCTGAAACCTCCTGAAAAGCCCGTTTAAACACACATCACGTGTCCAACTCTTCCACGCCTGGCGTCCAACAACGGCCTCCCCCGGCCTTGCCACGGCCGCCGATCCCATCACGCCTCTACGTGACCCTGAGCAGGCGGCTGCACTGAAGCCACGTGGAACCAGAGCCCCAGCCTGCCACCCCTGATGGTGCCCCGGCCCCCCGCGGCGCTATCCAGTGGGATCCCCAGCCACAGCGAGAACACACGCGGCTCCCGCTCACCAACAGCTGGGTGCTGGCGGGAGCCCGCGATCGCCACCCCGACAGCAGCATGCATGTGAGTGCCCAGACGGTGGCTCCGTAATGCCACCACCCCCTAAACGGGGGTCCCCAACCTATGGTAGTTGTATAATTATGTCATTACATACTGCAGTATAATAGTAATAGAAATAAAGTGCACAATAAATACAATGTGCTCCAATCACCCAAACCCATCACCCCTCCCCCAGTCTGTGGAAAAATCATCTTCCATGAAAATAGTCCCTGGTGCCAAAAAGGTTGGGGACCCACGCGGATCCTGACAGGCCTCGAGTCCTCCATTCACCAGCCTTGCCACCTGCACGAACCAGCACCGCCCGGACCCCCAGGTGGTGGCGACTGCTAGGTTCCTTCCGCACCTGCTGGTCGGCCTCCGCGCCCGCGGCTGCGCCGGCACTCGGGACGCGTTTCTTCCCTTTTACTCACGTCACACTTAGCGGTCCTGTTTCTCCAGCGACTTGTAATGTGTCACTCAGGTTATTCAGTTTGAGTCTCAAACTGCCCCAGATTTAGTGAGAGCTGCCCGCACACGCAGAATCATGGCCCCCACAGCCAGCTGTCCACCTCCTAATCCCCCAAACCTGTGACCGTGTCACCTCGGGTGGCAAAAGGGACTGTGCAGATGTGATTAAGGTCAGGCCCTTGCGACTGGCGATCGGCATGGATCATCAGGTGAGCCTCACGCCATCGCAGGGGCCTGGGAGCGGGAGGCAGAGAGTCAGAGTGGGCGGAGATGTGCCCTCAGGGACACGAGGGAGGGGCCTGAGGCGCAGGAGGAGGCCCCGAGGGACCCTCTCCTGGAGCCTCCGCATGGAACCGGCTCCCAACACTTAAACCTCTAACTCCGGAAGTTAAAATAATAAGCTTCTGCAGTGTAAACCACTAAATCCACAGGAATTGGTTACAGCAGCCGTAGGAAACTAGTATTAATACAACAGCCCTTCCAGGTGGTTCCGCCAGTGGCCAAGCAAAGCCCTTGAGGCAAGGCCTGGCCAGAGCACCCGCCTCAAGTCCGCCTTTGCCTCCCGGGGCACAGGACAGGGCTGACAAGTGGGGGTGCCCACAGAAAGCTTGTCCAGACACGTGGGTCCCAGTGGGCCAGGTGTCAGTGCTCAGCGGGACACTCAGATGTGGTCCCGAGGGGTGGGGGACGAGGGCACGTCTGCCCACAGTGGCTGGATGTGCTGCTTGTCTGGAGTGACAGGGTGGGCAGGGCCAGTTCACCTTGGAGGTCACCTGGGCCAGGCACCATCGGCAGGTTCGGCGGGGGCCAGGCTAACCCGTGAGTCAAAATCGACGTCCGTTCAGCCGTTGTCCAGCTCTGGGGGCTGAGCGCCGGCTCTGCCGCAGGCAGGAGGGAGAAGGCAGGGCCCAGGCCAGAGGGAGGTGGGCAGGGGCCGGAGGGGAGAGGAGAAAGAGGTGCAAAGGCCGTGAGTGGCTCTGAATCCAGTCCCCCCGCCTGGTGAGGACCCACCCACTCGCCCTGCGTGGCCTTGTAACCACGGTGTCCCCTGCAGGGAGGTGGTGGACCCATCATCCACGGTGACCCTCACCCCCACCAGGCGGCACCCTCTGGCCATTGCACACGCGAGGGCCACACGGTTCAGAGGGCAGGAGCCTCCCCGGGGACGCTGGGCCGGTGGGCAGAGGGGCAGGCGAGCCCCACACTGTGCTCCCAGCACCAAACGTGCGTGTGGTCGGGGGGGGGGCG